TATACATGATGAATGGTACTTTGAACATGGCAGGGCATACCTCTCACACAACCGAAGTCACGACTTTCGTATTCTGTCAGGTCAATAACGTTGTCCCCTTCTTCCTCCTCCTCGGGAGCCTGTACTACATCAGTAGGCTCAGGTGGCTCGACATACTCGGTGACAACAACTCTGGAAGAAGCAGGTGGCGCAGAGGCAGCTTCAGGGAGCGTAAAAGCAGCTTCAGGAAGCGCAGCCAGCCTGCTGCGAGTGCCTGAGAATGCTGAAACTGAAGGAACAATAATTAAATTGCACCATCTGTTATCAAAAACAGACAGTCAAGGGCTAGGAAAAATCACAGTAAAACTTACATAGTGGGAGGAAGAATTCCGGGCACTCCATAGACTCCGAGCCGTTTGAACCATTTGGCATCGCTGTAGGAACACAAATCGTGTTAAATGGGAATGTGTTCGACAGTCACATCCCTAAGATCAATAGAAGTTTTCACAATGGCATTTGTAGAAGCCTCTAGTAAATATTTAGACATTTTGACTTGTCAGATGATGATGGAGACTTCCACAAATGTCATTGTGACAAATTTCTGTCTCGAGACATTGTGAACCAATATAGTGATACTTAACAAATGAAAGGAAATGAAGCGAGCGCTTAGATGATGGAAGTGCATTCACTACCTGTAGACACTCCAGCAGGCCTGGCCCTATAGTGATTGCATAAAGTTAGCATAATGGGGACATGTCTGCCACGGTGTCTACCTGTGGTGGATGAAGCAAACTTACCCATTTCGAAGGTGAAACGAAATTTGGGGCAGGATGGTGAGGCCTTCTCAACCGCCGCTCCCTGCTCCTTGCGCTCCTCGACCGCCGCGGCGCCGTCCTTTCTCTGCGGGTCGTTCAGACTGAGGTCCTGGTTCTGGTTGACCACGCTGGTGTCGGGATGGTCCTCCGCGGCGCCGTCCTTCACCTGCTGCTCGTCCAGACGTGCGTCTGGGCCTGGTTTACTGCCCCAGCCCGGACCGGGCTAAAATATTTGGCGCGTGCACGACGCAGCGAATCGGGACTGCGACCAAGAAAACACAAAATGAATGAAATTGAAGGATCGTGATACAGCTAAGCAACCGGAATTCACAACACAGAAGCCCGTAGCGAGAGAAGCGTACCCCTACTAAAGTTACGCTCACCTTGGCCCTGATAAGACCCCCGTCACTCGCCTTAGGGTTAGGCCCTGATAAGATCGGCTTGAGTTAGGTTCGGGGTTAGGCCCTGATAAGACTTGCCGCACCAACATGGCCGACCGACTTACGCCACTAGGTTAGGTACGAGTTAACCCCTGTTAAGATCTACGCTAGGTACGAGTTACCACCTGTTAAGATCGAGGTTAGGTACGAGTTACCCCCTCTTAAGACCGGAAGAATGGGGGGAGGGGGGGAAAATGGCCGACCGTTACATGGGGGCACCTATACTTGTGCCCCGTCGTGCCTTCCTGCCCAGGCTGAGCAAGATCGACGTCCTCCGTGCCCTGCGGCGCATTCGCGCCCTCCGCGAGCGCCCTCGGGGTCACCGGACCGCCGCCGGTGCCGCCCGACCTGCGCGCGCGACGCTGTGACCTGCGCTGCCGTGCTGCTCTACCCACGCCGCTCCCTGAAGTGGGAGTAGTGGTAGGGGGAGCGGCGAAAAGGACCACCCTGGCCTGCGAGGCAGTGACGTCCATGCAGCGCCTCGGAGTGAAGGTGAATAGTTCTTTTCATCCTTGACCAAAATTTCCGGGTCTGATTTTTGATTTTTTTTTCTTCTCAAAAATTAAAGGTTTTCATGAAATATGAACTCACGCCAAATCTGGGCTCTGTAGCTCAAACGGTTCAGGAGTTATAAATTCCTAAAGTTTGGAGGCAAAAATAGCGGCTTTAAAGGGTGGTGTAGGTCTAACTCTATGAAAATGTCCAGTGAGGTGAAATCTGACTAGACCATTTGAAAGAGGATAAAAAACTGATTCTAAACCACCAATGTCAAAAAGTTGGATTTGAGTTTTCTAACCTTCGATCAAAGATATCAACAAAATTTAGCATATTAGCGTAACTCTCATAGCAAAAATATATGGTCTCCAATTGTCACCAAATTTGGTGTACAGTTTCAAGTTACAATACCTCCTCTACTTGTGAAGCAGTCTTTTTAACTGGAACAGCACTCCTTTCTTTTGGAGCTCTCCTTTTAATTTCTTTCTTATTA